TTTTTTTTTTTTTTGTATTTTTAGTCGAAATGGGGTTTCACCATGTTAGCCAGGATGATCTCTATCTCCTGACCTCGCGATCTACCCACCTTGGCCTCTCAAAGTGCTGGGATTACAGGCGTGAGCCACCACGCCCAGCAGAAATTTAGTTTCTTAAGATTAGTTTCCTATGTCCCAGAACTTAAAAAAAAAAAAAAAAAAAAAAAAATTGGCTAATACTTTAAACATCCTATTGAAATTTTTCCTCTTGGCTATTAAAGAACCTGGATGATTCTAATAACTAAAAACAAACAAAAAAAAGAGATGCAAAAGTATGATCATTACCTTGCAAGTGAATATTTTCAAATGACATAAATTTCAAATTGCAAACTTCTCTTATAGATTTAAAACAAACAAAAAACCACTTCTCTTTCAAAAACTCTTGTGCTCCAGACCTGCCACAAATTTTTCCCACTTCAACATACATAGAAATGCTGGATAAAATAAAATTCACATTCTTTAAAATACATACCTGACTTTGTAAGAAAGTAAGAAAAAATTTATGATGCAACCCAGTAATCCTTTTCCTAAGTGTCTACCTAAGATAAATGAGAACATGTGTTCAAATTAAAGATGTGCATGAGAATGTTCATAGCAGCATGATTTATAATAATGAAAAAGTAGAAATAACCCAAATGTCCATCAACTTGTGAAAGGATGAAAAAAAATGTGGTACAGCCATAAAATGGCATATAATTTAGCAATAGTATTATTAGTTGCCTGAGGTTGAACAGGAACACTGATTAACTGTAAATAGAGAAGAGGGTCTTAATGGAGTGAAAAAAAAGTTTTAAAATTTAATTGTGATGATTTCACAACTCTGCAAACTTACTAAAATAATAAAAATGTACACTTAAAATGCACGAATTTTATGATATATAAATGTCCAGAAAGTAAATGTAAAAAGCTAAGGACCTAAAATTAGGTATGAATGCCACAGCTACCTTGAGGATACTTGCTAATATTTGTGGCCTAAGTTTAATGGCCGTGTGGGATAAGGGGAAAAAAATATCTCCTCTGAGATTTAAAGTCACAGGCCAACCACATGAACGTAGAGAGTGAATTACCCTTTTCTTCTGCTCTTAGAAACCCTGCCCAAGAAATAAACTGAAAGTAGTCCAAACCGGTAGTGTCCCAGATTTCTTGGTGGAGCAAACCATAGATCTTTGAAGGCACATCCATTAACAAAGGTCACACTGGGTTCCCATAGATAAAGATAAATAGAAGCTCACAATTTAAAACAAAACAAAAACACAAGTCACTATGAATGAGAGCCAGCAAAAAGAAGAAATAAAAGAATAAAATCCTAAAGGACTTCAGATTTTAGATTATCAGACATAAATGTAGTAAAAGTATATTCAAACTGTGAAATAAAGAGAGTTGAAAACATGAGCAAATAACATGTTACTATGAAAAAAAGTCAAAGCAGATTTATGAAAAAGAATCACAATTTCTAGAAAGTACAAAGATGATCACTGAAATTAAAAAAATGCAACAGATAGCTTACCGAGCAAATTGAACAGGGCTGAAGGAAAAAAATCAGCAAAACGTAAGATAGAAGTGAAAATAACACATTATAGCATAGGGATGGATAAAATAAAATTGAGGTTAATAGATTTAAAACATAGCATGAGAAGGTCTAATATATGACTAAATGTCCAGAATAGAGACAATAGGAAAAAGGCAATGTTTGAGAAAATAATGATTGAAACTTTCCCCACACTAATTAAAGAACTGAGTCCTCAGGTTAAGGAAGATCTATAAATTCTGAGCATGATGAATAAAAAGAAACACATACAAAGAGATGTAACAGAAAAGCTGTGGAACACTAAAAGTAAAAAGAAGATATTGCAAGCAAAGAAAAAAGACAAAGGAAAAAAGATTGGCAGCTCTTTCAGCATAATGCAAGCCAGAAGACAGTGGAATAATATCTTCAAAATACACAAAACACATTTTAATTCCTAATATTGTATAGCCAGTTAAATATTATTCAAGAATCTGGGTAAACTAAAATATGATTTGATATTTTAACAAACATTTGTGTGTGAAAGCCTCATACATTTCACTTAATGAACACAATTTTCCCCATTTTTTAATAAACTAAAAAATAATGTAATCCTACTTATTCTAAATACTTAGGTAAGAAATTGTATCTTATTTCAAAAAAGCTTATATAAGAAATTAATAAAGAACATTTCTAAAATCATTACATTATAGAAATGAAATAATATTCCATTATCATACAACATGATTTAATTGCAAAATACTAATATTTTCTACCCCTTTTGAGTAAAGGTATGTCTGGTGTTCTCACAGAAAAGCTTCCGGGCAAAGAGGAGGAAGAGGTGCCATAGCTAAGCAATGGGAGGAAAAGTATTCCATCCTGGGATAGAGGACAGCTTGGTTCTGGTTCTAGAGCTGGGAAAAACTGGGCCTCAGTTTTCTTCTGAATGATAATTGAGGCTCCAGAGGAATCAGCATTTTCTCACAGCTCCTATAGCTCTGAAGCTTGAAAAATTTTTAGCCTAATTCTGTAGGATGCCATTGAAACTTCTGTCCTTCATAATCTCAGAATCAATCATCAAGCTAATAGGAAATACTTCTCGACAGAATTCGTAGCATATTATAGAATACATTCTTGCAATATTTTCCCACAAATATTCCTTTTATCTAGGAAGTTTCCATTCTGATTCCTCATTCCCCAGCCCTAAGAAATCAGATAATAGAAATGTTGTTTTCAAAGATGTTTGCAAGACTGACAACTTTTTACCAAGAACATTCTATGCTGTTTAGGGGATACTAGGTGCTCGTCTGCCAGTGTTCCCAACAGTAGCAAAACAGATTGCTAGAGCATCAAATTTTCAATGACATTTCTTTTTCTCTTTTACTGTGTCATTTGAAGACCAGACTGAATAGGCACAAGCAAGATTCTGGATGATTTTGCTGCCTTGTATTAGCTAGGTTTTCTCCCTCATGCAAAAATAAAATAGGAATCTAATGGTACTTATGCCTATGGCTATGTCTGGACCATATGTAAGGTATCAGAGTCCCAGGTGAAGCCAGGACTGGGTGGTCCAGCTTGGTCCAGAGGCTGGAGTGGAGGATTTCAGAATCAGCCCTGTCATCTATTCATATGTCCTACCTCCTTTGTCTCAATTTTAGGAGTATGATAAATGTTCTCTTAAAAAGCATGCTGGGCAGAGGAAATAAAAAATATGGTATGGATGGTGGTTAAATATCTGCCCTCTATTACTTATAGAATCATTTTTACATTTAAAGTCAAATCTAAAGCTGATAAACAAATTCCTATAGTGGGTAAGAGCTAACAAACCTTTTCTATGAAAATTTGACCTTTGGTCAACTTCCCAGATTTTCTCTGGCAATTCTAAAATGGTATTTCAACCATGTTATTATAAGCAACTATTATTACTTATTGTAACAATGACCCCTGATTCATAAATAGCATCTGTCTGGTTTGAAAGAACTATAAATACCTGATGGGGGCAACATTGCTTTCGATTACCTGAACGTAATCATTCTTATAACTGGACTTAAAATGTGTGGGAATTCTAGAAACTATGCCTGTTGACTGTTCCAAGACATATTTGTTTGTAGGGGATTGAAGCTTCTAAGCCAGGGCAATGCCTGTATCCATGCTATGTGGATCTTACCTCCTTACACTTGAGCCTTCATCTGGTGGGTAAAAGAAGAGCCTCCTGATTGCTGGATGAACCGTGACGCGGGACTACCACAAAGTCTCCTACAGAAGCTAACCACCTGACGTTGCCCTGCAGTAAGCTAAGGCTCTTGTCTTGCTGAGTACA